GCTCCCTCTCCAATACTTGCCAGGACTATTTTAAATGAAAAGAGACTCAAACTGGAAAAATAAACCCTAAAATATCTTTGACTAAAATGTTAAGTGTTTTTAATCCCAGATATCCAGTGGTGTTTGTCTTATGAGAAATTTTAATTGTGATAAGAAACAGAGAATACTTTAAAATAAATTTTCATATCTAAGTATGGTAGGTAAATCTTGACACCCACATTCCCCTTCATTAAAAATACATCGGAATTTAAAAGGTGAAGATGATAATCTTGGATCTGCTTTGATTTATCATTAAAAGAAATCATTCACAGCTTATCATGCTCTAGTATGTATGTCACACCTTGAAACTCATCACAACACCTACATGTGTCTGATGCCTGGCTGGAGAAACAGTTCTAGACTACTCTGATCTCAAATCTCAAAGAAAAATCCTCCCGGTGACAGCTGGATATGTTGTAGGAGGATAAAAAACCATTGTAGATATAATCATCCTTTCTATATAGCTTTCAAACTTCTGGGGTAGAGATAAATATGAGCAGCTTGGACTGAATTTATCCTGTGATACTGGCACTTGCAGCAGAAAGGAAATTGGAGCTCGACATACACAACTGCACCTGGACCATCAGGGCATCGCCTCTACCATTAAGACAAAGAGCAGAAAGAGCCACGGCAAGCGATGCCTCTATTTTGTATATTGTACACCTCCAGTTGTTCTTTCATTTGTTAGTGGCTCTTGTAGGCAGATGCTCCTTAAACAAAGGTTTTAACAGCACTGGAAAAGAGATATGCTGCTTGTATTCGCTGCACACAGGGAATATTATGTAACCTTGTTTCCCAGTGTGACTTAGACCTGCACTCAGCTTCTCTGTGTCTGTGTGTAAATGAGGGCTTTTTCCTCTTTTATATGCTTAGCAACCCCCACCATCTAGTTTTGGTCCTAAACATGGGCCATGAACACTCCTGACCACTTATTTGTTTATTTCAGGACCTAGCTGGTGTCAGTGGGAAGGGCCTGGATTGGGGACTGGAAAACCCTGGGTTCAAATTCTACAGGCTATTATGTACTTTGGACATGTCACTTCTCTAAAACTCCTATAAGGAATCCACTCCCCTGGGGCACTCGGGTTAACCTGTGACAGGGGCTACCACATAGTGTTTAAGGATGAAATACAGGCTCCATTCTCATTAGCATTATGCTCCTTTACTGTTAAAAACTACTGAAGTGGCAAATGCTGATTCGAGTGCTTACTTTAAAAAAGGAGGGGGGGGATGGAGGGGGAGACAGCTGAAAGCTAATTCAATCCTGAAAATTATTTGGACCTCTTCTAATTAATATCCTCTGCACATAGTCACTGCTTCCTCTCTCTTAACAAAGGAAAGGTTTTGGAGTACCATGACTTGGCCTTTCGTAAGCCTTGTTTCTCTCCTCTCTTCTTCCCGCTTTGGATGGATGGATGCAGCTTTGATCACCATTCAACTTTGTGCCATGAAGAAACACCAAAATAAAAACGGATTAAAAATGATTTCCCTGTTAACACGAAGATTCTAGATTTTCTCCTTCTCACAAGGTATGAGTCCTACGTTTGCTTTGAGGCTGGCAGGCTCTGTTCCTCGGGCTCTCTCAGCTCTCCTGGTTGTGGTTCTCTGGGTACCAGTGCCCCAGCCCCAGGCTCCTGACCTTGGGCCCCTGTCAACTTTCTGCTGCCCAGCACCTCTCCTTTGGTTACAAGACCTTTCGCATACAGCTCTCTGAGAAATGTCTAGTCTTTCTCTTCTACTTGGGTACAGTAACATAAGTCCTCCCTC